TATACGTGTAGCATTTTATCGGTGGATATCGCTCAGTGATGTATTTCAATGTTGCTTTTTCTACGGAATTATATTGAAACAGTCGTGAGACAGATGGATACTAATTGACAAAGCCTTTTTAGTTTATTGCAGGTAGCCAATGCGAGTGAGAGCATTATTTATCCTGTAATATTGTGTGCATAATTCTATTTTTGTTTACTCTTCCACCTTTTGTAGTTAATAATGTGCTGCATAAGTGTCAACGATGGACATGGTCTCGCAACTCGTGCGCATCTGAAAGCGGGAGAAGTAATCGCACAAATGGACCATTTTCTTAATATGTAAACAAACTAATTTTGTATTATAATAAATATGAATTTTTCATGTAAATCTTGTTGTCTTTCAATTCATGTATTCGCTTTGTGAGCACGGCATGCTAGACCGGTGCTCCCTAGGACTTGAACTCGTTACTATACTTAAGTGTAATTCTGTAGGAACACTATCGACCGATATGCGTGGTGAATTATAAGTAGTTTAGTGGACCTTAAGTCTCTGTCTACAGTTACGTGAAAACGTCTCATAGTCCTATGCAAGTCTGTAGGGAACAATGACAACAATAGACAGAACTTAGGCACTGTATTGCAGTTCCATTTCGTATACGGCTAGGTGTATTCCAAATCAGTGTATTACTAATATTTAAATTAAAGCGTTATGGCAGTCCCTATGATAACGGGTGTTAACGTATACTGTAAAATTAAGTTTACACATAACGAATAAATAAGTAGGTTGAGCTGTAGCAGTCGTAGTAACATTCCGCTTACGTTTAATTATGCAGTCAAATAAATCATCAAGTATCATTGATAAGTCTGACATCTGCATCTTTTCATGCAAAAAACTTAGTTTCACTCAGATAGAATAAGAAAAGTATTGTAAGCAGGATGTTAAATCTATTTAATGAAAAAAAAATAAGCAAATGTCTTTACACAATTGTTTTTCGTAATTATTTCGCCCATGTTGAATTGCTGTGACCAAGTTGACTGACATTACCGGATATCTGTAAATAAGTGAACAAAGTGTATGTTTTTTAATCGCTGAAGTAAGGAAGAAGTAATGTTAAAGTTAAACGCTTTAAATTTCCATACCTTTGCTGAAAAAGGTTCATTTTCCTTTTTCATTCTTTGGTGATGACAGCATTCTTCTGTATTTTTTAATGTCACACAGAGATTGTTCGTCTAATACAGTATAGCAGCAAGCAAATAATAAGTGTTAACTAGTAAACCATTCACAATGAACACTGTACAGAAAACTTCATCACATCTTCATTTTAACCAACTTTTCCTTCACGCACAGAAGCATGCAGTCACTACATACACTTAAGCATTGTAACCTGAACATCACAAAATCCCTATAGATAACTTCTTTCATAATAAATGATTTAAACATATGAGCCATAAGTGCATCTTCCATATCCTTCATAGCCAGAAGTAATTCATTAAGGATCTCAGAATATCTTAGTGATCTGAACACGAACGATTGTTAAGACTGGGATAACTTATGTAACAGGTGCAGTAGTTGTAGGACACACCTGCTAGCTACTAATCGACAGAAAATTGATACTAATTTTAAGTAGTCTGACATTTCAGGAGGACCATCTGCAGTATTCTTCGTAACCCCATGCACACTGATATACACATAATCTCATGCCATTTTTGACAATGAACAATTAAAGCCTTCTGACATTCCAAGTGCAAATGTCAATTAAACTAGTCTCATGTCTTCGCCTAGGCAATTTTAAATGGGAACTTCATCAAAGTAGATATAATCACCAGGAAATGCAGCAGCCTGTCTCATTCATTGCATGATCTCTTCCATGTGCTATGGAATATTTCAGTCATCACAGATGATAAAAGAAGTGTCTGACATCCTCAAAACACACATCAAACTTATGTCTCTAGGCTATTTCTCTTTCTTTTCAAATGCACGATTCTCATAGAATAACTGGGATGACAACAGCCATTGCCTGCAGTCAATTTACAACCTTAAGAACTGAAACAACACACAAAAAACAATGCCTAAATGCTCTAAAACCCTAATAATGGACGTTTTATGCGATATTTCTTCAAAATGATGACTTTTTTATTAGTAATTCGTCTAGGCTGTCATGACAATTTTACGCATTACTACGAACACAATACACAAAAATATTGCATTTTTCGGTTATAGAAGCCTAAAACTAGTCAAATAGAATCTATTTTCGCAATACTGAGTGGTTAGAACGTCTCTATAGGCGTGAACGCGATAACCCATGCAATGCGCGAAAACACCTTATCATAGAACATAGCCTCACTCCCCTTTACTAAGGTCGCCATCAGAGTAGAGCGCCAGCCCAAACTTCTTTTCGTTTCCTGCTGATAGTTATGGTCAGCCAGTAAACAGCGTATATTTGGGTAAGTGCTATGCCTTCACTTGATTAAAAGCTATTTCTGGAAAATGAGAACGTCCTGTGAAACTGAAAAATGGCATAAAATGCAATTATGGGTAGCACATAATTGAAAGTATATCTACAAGGCAAATACAAGGAGGTGGAGACTCCCTGGAATGACAGTACATATTTGCAGCGTTTAATGCTAACCGTATTGGTCTAAGCATAGAAACTATGAAGTTTTTGACGAAAATATAGCTTCATTCAAACATTGATGCTGTTGTGTTTTTAGTCAAAGCAACCAGACTTCAAATAAGCAAGTAATATGAACAGAGGGAGTTTAAGCTTAAATAAAGGCCTGGGTATTTAGATCAGGTTTGATTATCTGTATTGTTGGAGTGAAAACAGGGGTTTTAAGAAGGATTGAAATTTGAGAAAACGAGGCTGTAGTGAGCACAACTTGACATGATTATGAGCAATAGTTTATGCTCAAAACGTCATCAGTTGATATTACTGTACAACACTGTGTGATTTATCAAAATAAAATCTTATCCATGATGGAGTTATGCTCTACTACAGTGCCCAAGTTTTATAATTATAATGGAGGAAGTACATAGTAATTAGGACTAGCTAATGATGTATTTAGGTACACAAGATGGTAAGATTTTACAACTCCAATACGATGTGAACACCAGCTTCTGTTCACTTTAAGAATCAGTTGACCGTTTGGCGAATTTAAATTATGGCAGACAATTTAGCATATTGCTCACGACTACCAAATAGAGCTGCAGATAGCATAAACTAGGCAAACTATCCGTCGTTTTCAACGTTTGTGCGGAGGGTTCCGGGAAGATCAACTGTTTGATAGCTGCATGAATAGTGGATTGACTGGAATGACTTAAACGTGCATATGCAAGAAAACCTGGAGGAACCAACTGGTCTTTTGGTAGATTAAAGAACAGGATCAGCATTATAAACTCAGGTTCTCCCACTACTTGATAATTATGATTGCCTGCTCGAGGTTAGCGGCCAGGTGTCCCAGTGCAGCTGCAATAAATTCACCTCACTGATCGTCTAGTCTTTTTGATAGGAGAGAAAAACCGTCAACTTCTGAAGAGAGGATGTTTCAAGTCACAGTGGATTCTGGAAGTGCTTTGGTTGACTACAGTTCACAAGTATTGAGGAGAAAGCAGATAAAATTCTTACTTTTGAGCCCTAGAGTGGAAAAGAGATCAGCCATAAAAGTATACCGTTATAAATTATGGGTCATTTATTGGGGAGTTTTTGTGTGTATGGCAAGAATTTATGAATTATTCAGTGGGCCAGCAGACTCACGAAATTTATGGTCGACCGGTGATATTGTTCGCTACTAGCTGTCTTTGAAAGTGGCCAGCCAACGACATTTATTTACTATTCTGACAGTGAAATAGCTTAATATTAGCACTATTTTAGCTTTTCAGTAGTACTTACTGGCGGGAAAATTTAGGATACGATATTACCATCCACATGCGAGGATGGAACTTGGAATTCCCATCAGATGTCTCAAAACATTTGTTGTTTTGGAATGTATCGAGACATTAGTATGAACTGGTGTTTAATAATTTAAAATTCATATGCCAGCAACGGTACTTCCAGATTATGTCTAATTTACAGTATTTTTCAGTAACATGGATGAAGTAGTTAGCTAGGTTTTTCTGGAACTCATCATCTCAGCATATGCGCATGTTTGACATGCATGTCGTCATTAAAATGCATGCAAACATGCGCAGGATAATGACAACACCAACAATAAGGAATCTAAATCATCAGTAGTAATTCCATACAAGGAAGGAACCTCGGAAACCTTACAAAGAATTCTTAACAAGGCAGGCAGCAATAAAAGTGGCTGGCATTCAAACTCACAAACTCAATTAGAAACAACCTTTGTCGGTTAAAGGATCTTATGGAGCCGTTAGAACAAAGCAATTCAGTTTATCTGATACCCTGCCCGCAATGATTGTCAGGTCAAATACATAGGTCAAAGTAGTGGAACAGGAGCAGTCAGACTAGCCGAGCATAAAAGCTTAGCAAAATCTAGGTTAGTCGTCCCGAATAAGAAATCTAGAGAATAGTTCAGCCATCTATAACACTACATGCAATTACACACAGCCATGCAATTGGCTAGATGGGATAAGATGATAGTTTTAAAATCTAATGTCACAGGGTGGAGGGAGAGATTGATAACAGAAGCTTTGTTTATCGAATCAACTGAATGATTCAACACCTATCCCAGATATCTGGAAAATTCTACTACCTCAACGACGGCAAATAGAAGAGGACAACGAGAACCATAAAACTTAAGTTTCGAAGTTGTGTGATTATAATTGATATGATTATGGACAATAAATTGTGTTCGAAACGTCATTCAGTAAATAATACTGTTTCATCACTGTGATACATCTAATAAACAAACTAATATGGAGTTACCCAGTACCACAGTACCCAAGTTTTACACATATAACTTCTTACCGGGCTGAGAATAACTGGAGCAATTATAGTTCAGTTGTTCCGGTTAATAAAAAATATGCAGATTTTCTCACTTTCAATCTAAATATTTTAAGTTGTTTATATCAGTTTCTTTTAATCAGCAGCATATTTGGCGAATTCAAATGTGTCCTTGAACGCATTTCGAGTAATAACTTTCAGTGGATGCAGTCAATAACGTGGCGCCCATGTTTTGTTTTTCATTTGTCCGTCCTTACAATTGGATTATTGCTTAAGCGTTCTCTGTTTGAGTCACTTATCGCATCATATCTTATATATGTTCCTTTTGGAGGATGGCGGTATCAGCGCATATTCCTAGCGACTGTTTGCAGGGACCTGATGTAAGTGGTTTTTTCTATCTCCTTTTGGAGCTTCGTACCATTGTCTTCAGCTTTCCAATGCATATACAGCTTGATTTCAATGCATGTATATGATCTTATAGTTCTTTTTGGATATGTAGATATCTACATCAGAAGAATTTTGAACGCTCATAATTTTTGACATTTCAATTATTTTAAGATTTTACGCATTCCTTAGGATTAAGCTTTTAAGCTGAGTGTACCTTTAGCTGGTTTTGAAGTCATAGATTGCCTCAGTGTCTGACTTAGGTTTGAACCTGTGATGGAAAATCAGTTAGTCTTATGGTTGCATATAAGTTCTTATTTATGGGTACCAATATACCTAAATCCTACTTTCAGGGCTTATATGCAGTTTTCCCTAACCACTTAAATTTAATTAAAACTCGGAACACTATGGCGAGTCAGCTAGCCTCCTAACCATATTGCAGATATAACTCGTATTGCAGTCAGCACCTGAGAGTAGATAAATTGCTTCAGTTCGTTCCTACCCCTAAATGTGGTATGTTTCATTTTGTTTGCTGGGCTTTATTATTTAGATGAAAATCGGTTATTTAAACATGTGGCATTATTTGTTTAGTAAACCAGCTTTTTTGTAGTATTTCAAAGTGAATGGAGTTTTAGAAACTAACATGCATTAAAGACTATATTTTTTATCACCAACGTTACTCACTTGGCAATTCGTGATATATTCAAGTTCTCTTAATGATAACTGATTGTTTATTTAAGTGATGTAACTGAACCGTAATGCATTTTATCTGGATTTTAATCTCATACTCCCCCTTATCAATTTGAATATGACCTGAAAAACATTCACACCTGTCGTTTTGCATGATCGATTCAATGTAGCTTATTTGCTTATCAGTCTTATATCTTCCAATGTACTCCTGATAGTATATATATCCTAGTATATTGAGTATTCGGCTACAGTTCTACCAAAATTTGAGAAATTCATAAAATCCTGCTTTACTAACCTTCGTTGTTTGCTTTAAATTCGTTTCGGGAAGTTGTTCTCGACTAAATATTGCCTTCTAGTTTCCATGGCTTTCATTGGAGAATCCTCATGAATCATTCGAGTTTTTATGTGTGAATGTTCATCGGATGATGTAATTTAGTCGGCCACAGAATAGTTATCCATGTTACAGTTGCTATCTTAGCGCGTATTCTAACCACAATGCAGCGTCTAAGCGTTGTCGCCATCAATGTGCATAATTTTTATGTAAAAAAGATATTGCACTCTAGCATATAATCAAACCTCTGGATAAGATGATTTCTAAACTAACAGCTGTTTTCGATAACTTCAGGCTCTACAATTGTAAATCCATGAATATTAAGATAATGCTAATGAACCTATCTAGAACAGTTGTTTCCTCAAAGGTAGTCTTGTTCTGTTACACTATGGGAATATTTGACTTACTGAAGTCTTGTGGACATTCCGTTGCACTGAAGACTTCTGGATGTTTAAAGGAATTGGTTTATTATTAAATAAAAATCAAGGGGAATAGTCATTTAGAAAATGAAAACAAGTGATTCAGCGAAAAGATTGTTCTCAACGAATTTATTATCAAGCTGTACCATCGTATATATACGGTTTTTCAGAAATTATATCAGGTGAGGGAATTGAATCACAGGCGTGAATGCATTAATTCGTTTTTTTATCCTTCACGTCCCCCAGTGGAACATAGGGCTTCAAGCTAGTGGCTTAAAGTTTCTGTAGCAGTGTTTATTTTACAGGATGGGGTTGCTAGCCTCATGCCCAAACTTTCCTCTTCATCAGCATTATTTCTGGCTTAGCGAGATAAAGAAGTGCGTCGACCGGGGTTCGAACCTCAGACCATGTGCATGGTCGGCGAGCGTCCTAACCACTATGCCACCGACGCAGAATGCATTAAATAATAGTATGAAATGCCGTCAAAATTTTTGTGATTATAATCATAGTTAAATATGAAGTGGCAAAACAATTAAGGTCATATATAGAATAATTCATAGGGTGTATAGAACTTGGAAGGGGTTTACAATTATACCATTGGCAGGCAAATGGAATAAGAATAAGACGTTACGCAACAGTGTGTGAAATTTGCAAAACAAAACTGATTTAGAATGACAAGTGGAACGATTGGAATAATAACGGGGATGAAAAGTAATTTGGCCAAATCACCACGTATCCGACTCACCTGCTCCTGTGGAGCTAGGTATGTCGGTCGTTCGACTCGAGTTTTGTCCAAGAGGGTGCAATAGCAATATCCTGAGTGGTTACGGAGAGATGGGAGTAGAGCAATAAGAAGCGCGACCATTGAGTATTTATTCGATAATGATCACCCTATCTTTACAGCCTCGGCCTGTGAAGTTAATCACAAGCGAAAAATAGTTTATGCAGATCATCGCATATTCGACTCATCTATATTCCTGAAGCTTTGGTCAGTGAAACAGAAAAGTCAGATCTCTTTATACAGAAAAAGTTCGTTCAACCACCCCCCCCAACTTTCAGAGTCTTAATCCCTCTATGCTAAAGTATGAAAATCTCCCATTCATGTTTTGGCTCTACTTATTTCTTTGTCTTGTTTATTCACTTTGTATACACTTCCTTCATTACGTCAATCATTACTGTTACTATCCTCAATTTGAACTGTCCCCGGTATTATTTCATTTGTTCCACTTGTCATTCTAAATCAGTCTGGTTACCCGTCTCTCGTTATTTATGGTGATCGTTAGTCTGGAGCCTAATTCAATAGAATGCAGCTTCAATTTTAGTTAGTTATACAGGAGTCATTTACGTGAAATAGATTTTTTTATGTGTCAGGCCATCATCTTTACTTATTGCCTGATAGTTCGCGATAATACTTGGTTTCTTTGAATGAACTAAGTGGAGCTAGCTTTGAGCTCGGGACTAATCGGTTGGAATTTTAGTGCTTAGGCCAATGACCCACATCTCCACCTCCGGGACACAATGGAAATCAATAGTTCGGAACGACACCACATTTGATTCAGTGTCTTAACTGGTTGTCGTTCGGTTTTCGACATAGAACTTTGCACATATGTGCGGCAGTTCAAGTCGCCACACTCCATGTAGCACACAAAGGAAGAGAAGAAAGTAGGAGAAATGCATAGTATAGACAGTAAACAGAGGTGTGAGACAAAGGAATAGTAATAACGAAGAACAAAACAGTTTAATTGGAAATCATAAGTCACAAGGAGTGGATGCATCTGCGCCAGCCATTGAGAACGATTTTGAGCCATGTCACCAATTGTTTCCAACCATTGGTTTTCACCGTCCCGAGGACCCCAACCAGGAAGTCTACATCTTCCTACGTGGCTTAGACTAACTGTTGTGGATTTCATTGACTGGTGCCATGTTTTCGTTTGACCGCCGCTAGCTCTTTTCCAGTCTGGCCCTATATCAGCTAACATTGCCCATTGTCGAGGAAGGCGATGACTAGGCATACGTAACACATGTCCTAACCATCTCAGTCGATGTAATTTCACAGTTTCGTCGACTGATTTCCCCGCCTTACCTAGCACTCGACGCCTAACCTCAATATTGCTCACCTTATTATACCACTTCACGCGGGAGATAGAACGCAGACACCTATGATCGAAGACAGCTAATCTTTTCATGTCTTCTGCTCTCAATGGCCAGGTCTCACAGCCATAAAGGAGGACGGAGCGGACTGCTGAGCAGTACACACGCCCTTTGGTCGATAGTCGGATATCACGTCTACGCCAGAGACGGCGTAAACTGGCATATGCGAACCTAGCCCTCTGTATTCGTGCTGAGATTTCGTCAGAGATCAACCCGTTGGGACTGATGGTACTTCCCAAGTAAGTGAAGTGGTCAACGTGCTCTACCACTTCACTTCCTATTTCTAATCTAGGGGTCGGTGTAGTCCAATCCTGCAACATCATCTTACATTTTACAGGGGCGAATCGCATGCCAAACATACGAAGATTGCTGCTCAAGGTGTTCAGAAGACTCTGCATTTTGTCAGCTTCCTCGCCTAGAAGGACTATATCGTCTGCATATTCTAAGTCAACTAGATTATTCCCTGGTAGCAAGTCAATCCCTGAGTCGCTGAAGTGAGTTACGGTTAAGTCCATTAGTACGTCTATGATGAAATTGAATAGAAATGGGGATAATGGGCATCCTTGACGGACGCCACTAGTGATGCTATGGTTTTCTGTTACTAGCCGCTGTTAATATGCATAAGAGCTGCCTGAATATTTATTTTAAAACTACGTCTTTGACTAAGATAAGTTTTTATTTTCTACTCTTCCCTAATCTTTTCACAATCATGGCAACTATAATTTAGCCTTTTAACATCTTGCATTTTCGTTTCTCATTCCTTAACCATGTATTATTTCCTATTTGATATGAATGCGTGTGATCATATTAGGAGTGTGATAATCAATTACAACACACCATTCAAAATAATTATATCCTACTTTTTGTCGGGTTATAGTAATGGTAAGTGATCAAAGTAATCAAAGGATAACTGGCTTTTGCATCTTATCTTGTTTAGTAAATGATTAAGTTTTAAGTGTCACTGAAGTTGAAGACCGTTAGTTATGCGAATTAGTGAAGATCATCAGACCCTAACATGTTTCTGTGGGAGATTTTGGCTAGGGTAGAACTTCTCAATTTTCTGTAACTGGAGCGTTTGTTTTGGCCTTGATTGCTGAAGTCATCCAAAACGGTAAAAGTTGGAAGTCAGCATTGATAAAAATTAAGCAGTTAATTTTCGAATTAGATATTCTAGTCAATTTCTAATGCCATTTCTTAAAGGCGGATTTTTCTCACTGTTGAAACACCACTTTTTATGTCGATTCAAATCTCATGAAGTTTCCTCCACTATAAAGAGGAGTATCTGATAATTGCTTTTTTCCAGGTGTAGGTCGCGTTAAAGCTTGTGGTGAGTTATCCCCCCTGCAATTCACTGAAAATTAAGATTGAATTAAACTTGTATTGAAGGTGTATTTGTTATCTCCATTCAAGTGCATACCGCAAAATTTAAGTATACAGTGCTGGATTGCAAACAAAAGAATTCCCCCATAATATTATAGGTTAAATTTCGAATTTGTTAATCATATCATAAAGCGTTTTGTAACGAAAATTTGGTGTCACTTGTGTAGTTCATATGGTTGGTGCATTCATTCGTGTTGTTGCATATTCATTTAGGAATACGTTTCTTACAGACGGGATTGCACTAAGGATACTTAATTGGGTTGTGAAACATAGTCTTGTGTATACTGTCCACTTAAATTTTGTTTATTTTTGTGACGTGTATGTGTTATACTTGCCATTTATTCTTCAGAGGGCTACGATGCTTATTTATGGTACAGTTAAGTACTTATTGGCTCATATGGACAAGGAAAACTTTAGCTGATATGTTTAAATCTACTGTTAGGAGACGAGGATCGAATAAAGTTGCTATTTACTATGAAGATCAAGTATGGACTTTTGGTGCGTTGGATGCTTATTCAAATAAAGTAGCAAATCATCTGTTAAAGCATGGCTTTAAACGGGGTGATGTTCTACTTCTGTTTATGAATTCCTGTCCATCATACATTGGGATATGGCTTGGTGCAGCTAAAGTAAGCTATTAAATCATTATGTTACCTAGGGTTCTGAATATATTGAATTTGATTATATTATTTTAATAAAATGATTTATTCTTGTGCATACCTTAACAACTGCGATATAAGCAACATGTGCTCTTAAAACCATCACAGTAGATTGGAGTTTGTAAACCTATGTTTTGTTTTGTAGATAAGTTTTGGAATCCAAGGGAGGTTATTCCTTGGTTTAATGCAGAAATGTATTTCATGGTTCTTTCCTTAGATATCTCGAAGCCTTTAAGTTCCCAACTCTTCGGTGAGAATTTCAGATAAGTATTTCGTTAGAAGATAACAACGTTTGTCTGACCGCTACAGAAGACGCTCCTTCAAGAAAGTTACCACTATGTCCAGTCCACTGGAGCAACACTAATGAAGACAGTCGATAACTTCCAGTCAAAGAATAGTAACGCCCAATAAACTTCTGCAGTTTCATTCACGCTGATCCAGACAAGGATACTAATTGCTGCGGTCTCCTAAAATGATGAGGAGCTAATGATGACTGAAATTCTTCTTAACGATTTTGAACAATAGTGAGTAAAAACGACGCAAAAATGGGGAAGGCTTCGGGACTAGGCTGTACCCGTCATCCTTTTAGTTTCTTTGGGTTTGTAGGTCTTGAAAATTCTATGTTAAGGGGATTTCGGATAAGAACGGAAGTTCGATAACTTAGAAGTGGTGGAGGGAACCGTGGACGTAGCACTTTGAAGCGCAGTTCAACCTTACAGCGTCACGGGTAGAAAGACATGAGTCTTTCAACCTTAATCGAACACGCAAATGATTTCTTCTATTCCTAAACAAACCAAAGTATCAGGACTTGCGTATTTGACTCTGGTGGCGTTTAGGGATTATGGTGATGAATAACTGGCTAGATTATCTAAGGTACTAGTTAGTGGGTGAGAATCCCGAATATTTCCATCGCTGACTATCCAAGGTAACAGGGAATTCCGCATATATATATATATATTTATTGCTGACAGTCAGGTGCAGACTTAAGGAAAAGTAATTTAACCACTGCCATCAGTATATGCATTCTTAGGATTTTTTCTACAAGCTGTCGTATTAAAACTTCTTACTGTTTATTTAATTTTTTATTCAACAGATTGGTGTTGCAACAGGTCTCCTAAATACTAATCTTTGTAAAGGATCACTTATCAACAGTATTAAAGCACTGAATGCACGTGGGATTGTTGTAGGATCTTTGCTAAACGAAACGTTTGAAATGGTCAGGGAATATGGGGAATTCTCGTTTGAATTGATATGGATAGTTGATGAAAGAAACAGCACTCCAGAATTCGCTATTTCAAATTCAACACCGTCCAAATATAGCTGGAATATAGCACTTGCTCAGGCTTCACATTCTGATCCACCACCACTTCCAAGAACTGATAATCACCGTGAACATTTAATTTATGTTTATACCAGTGGTACCACTGGTTTTCCTAAGGTGAGTAAAAAAACTGTACCTTGTTATCCATAGGAGTATAGTGAATCTGCAGAAATATGGAAATTAAGCTTAACTAGTTCGGAGTTTATCTTATTAATAATTAAAGTAAAATTAATTTTTAAAGCATTTAGAAATTTGTCACAGAGGTGGAGGTCTTGTAAAGTGTTACTTATTCTTGTAATGCCATCTACAACTTAAGATCACCGTAAACTACTCATATATGCACCCTTCGTCTTCTTGCTTAATATCACCTCATTTTTTTCCCTGAAATACTGCCACCGTTTTATGTGTTCGAAATGTTGACGTTTTATTTCAAAGCTTTTTGTCATAATTAATTGCGAACTTGCAACTTGAAGTGTGTTGGGAAGTAACACGTATGTAACTGGATGACTACTCTTCTCTTGTGAAATCTCGTCTAATCGTGGAATTCAATGGATAAATTGGATTTTATGCATAAGCCAAAAAAAGTTTTCATTGTTTAAAATGGAATAGATGTCACGACATTCAGCGATTTTCTTGTCGACGTTGATTTACTATAAAAAGAGTCATTAAATAGTACATTGAGATATTGTATTTACCAGAATAATGAACATTTTTGTGTATTATCCCAACTATATCATCAGTTAGTGATTTCAGGTGGATCTCACAGTGCATCAGAGCTTCACATTTACGAATAATTTTCCGATGAATGACAACTCGCAGCTCTCAAGCTTTCTTTTTTTACCATCACAGCCTGCCATTATAACAAAATTACGATACACATTATTGGCTACTGGTGCCCGCTACTCATTTGGTATTAAACACCACGATATCATATATAATCCTCTCCCGTTATATCATTCCGCCGGTGGAATATGCGGAGTTGGACAAATGCTACTGAATGGTAACACAATTGTAATAAGATCTAAATTTTCTGCCTCGCAATACTGGTCAGACTGTGTAAAGTATAAGTGTACAGTGAGTTTTTATTTCTTTTTATGTAAAACTTGACTGTTGTATACTGTATCTTATGCCTTTTTATATTCTGCAGTAAGGTTTTTCTTAGGAGTACATACATCTGTATGTAGTTCTAGTTCTGTTTGATCAGCCCAGAATATATGTTTTTCTGGTATAAGGGTTATAAAAGAAGAAGTTATTTCCTCTTTAAGGTATTTTCATCGGATCCAACCCCTCATAGTATGGTTACTTTTCAAGTGTGATCGCCTCACACTCCATCAGAAATCGCATCGCATCAAGATAACCATTGAAATGTTTTCATCTTTTGTCACTCTTATTGTCGCGGCTTCAATCTACTGTGAATAGCATTCGTTATTTCTTGTGCGTTGGTGGCACAGAGGTAGAATGCTCGCCAGCCATTCAGGTTGGCCGGGGTTCGATTCCCGGCCGACTCACTCCCAAACCTCGCTTAGCTAGTAATAAGCCCGGTAAAGAAGGAAGGTTGGGAGTGAGACTAGCAATCCCAACCCGTAAAAATGAACATCACTGCTACCGAAAATTCTAAGGTGTAGCTTAAAGCCCTATATTCCACTGGTAACGCAAAGGAATAAAAAAATTTCTTGGAATTGCATTGGAAACTATGATATAGAATATTCACTATCAACAATTATTTATTTATTCTACTACATTAGGTGCATATTGGCTCAGTGATAAAGATACGCATTGAGGTGAAACGTACCTCTAGTTTATGCGCTACTTATTTGGTCTGTACCATAGGACGTTTTGAAGAATTTCCATATATTGGTCCTCATATAGTCTTTGTCTATGTAGTTAGGATGAATAGGAGTTGAATTGTACTGAATTCTGTCTAGTTCCCCACCAAACTTCAGCTTCAGTTGCTGAAGATTAATTTTGTGAACACCCCATTTACCTTACCAGCTAACTTATAAATACACTGTTTCCCACAGATTTACTTTGGTCACCATTAGAGAGAGATACACACTCAGTTTAGTCCCTAAAGTGGATTTTGTCTAGATCAAATATAAAAACAGACTGTTGTAGCTAGAACTTTTGTGGGTGGAAGTAATGTTTTGGTATGTGTTTAACCCTAAACAGGACCTGTACTCCAAGGTAATTTCATGCTAGTAACTTTGACAATATTAGTTCGTTCTAATCGAATGACGGTAGTTGTTAAGAAATAGCTTGAAGGGTACACGAAATAAAAGATATGAAAAGACTACAGGTTTCTGACTATAGGTGCCCTCGATCAGTTATGCACATTAAGCGGAGCTACCGATTAGGCAACAGTGTGGTTGGGGGAAAACTTAAGAAAGCGGTGTAAGTCAGTCGAAGTTATTGAGGTTCATTATTCATGTTAAGTGAGATATATGATATACATTCGAAACTACCGCCTACTTCAATGAGCACTTTTACCAGAAGTAAGATTAGGTTTGGAAAGAGGGAAACAGAAACATAGTATCAATTGACAAAGTCTCTGACTATTGATTTCAGTTACATACGGTGACACTAATTGTGTATAGCTAGGGTTGCCAAAAAAACTGTTTGTGAAAAAACTTCAAATTTCAAAGTAGGTTTCGTCACGAACCAATATCCGTTAGAGAATCTTTGAAAATCAGGGGAAACTAGACAGAAGAGTTGCCCTAGTTCGGGACTCTTCATCGGTGCGCAGCTATGACCCTATCAGGAATCAAACTCAGGACCTTCGGGTTATGAAGCCAGTCCGTTGGCCATTCAGCTACTAGATTTGAATTCAATATCCTGTAAATCCTTACTTCAGTTAGTTCGTGATTTCCCACCACCATCAAACAATGCCATCGATAAGCATCCACTTAACTCTGATGTGGTAGATGAAACAGCTGTCCAAGACTCCCGGGTTTCCCATGATTCTGTAAGTGATTTTGGTTTGGCATGAAATCTTCACTGAAATTAATCTAAATACCTACAAAGCTTATAAACTTGAAGTTCTTCACAATGGTGCAGATGTAATCACTTGTTGTCTTCTAAATTTTGAAGGATGTCACTAATCTCCCTTCCTGTTGTTCCGCCTGACGCATACCATGTTTGTCTATTATATAGTACCATTCCGTGTCTATTTTATTTATTTTGCGTACTTTTTGAAGTGTGGCGGCTGGGAATGACGCAGTTGTATGCAAGGTTATACGCTGAACCATATTTCCTTAGTAGTTAGTCATTTAAAATGACCCAGTTTTCATCGTATTCTCTAGGTGTTAGTTGTTAGAGCTTTATGCTTGCATTCTGTTAAGGGTGTTTAGATTGACGTGAATCTGCTACCTATATATATATATATATATATATATATATATATATATATATATATATGCATCCATCAAAGTTGTTTGTTTATTCGTCCATTGTTTTCATACTGAAGGCGATGCAAGAGATATATTGTTAATAATAATAATTGTTTCGATGAAAACATTCGCAAACTCATTGTTGTTGCTGCTACTCTTCATTTGACGAAATGCAGAGTTATAATATGCTTGTAGAATCATTTTTGCTTTATATGTTTCTGTATTGCTCGTAGATCGTATAAACTCTATGGGCTGATATATATATATCTATATATATATATATATACATTCATACTTATACATATATATATATATATATATTTCCATGCATATTTTATTAGCTATTGTATTACAGTGTAGATAAAGCGTTATTCTGTTCTACATTCTCCTACTTTTATTTTCTTATTCTTCTTCATATTATTTATCCCTCTCTTAGCATTCCTCCGTAAATCATGTTTTTGCGTGCAACTTTTCTGATTTCATATGAAGACAAAAATCAGAATATGACCATCTGTTTTATATCCACACGCGTGCAATGCATAAACATTTTTATGGTTCAAATATGATCAGAACTAGTGTTCTGTTAGTTCCATTCTTATTGTTTTATATCTTTTGTATGAGATTATATGTACAGAGTCCAAAGTATGGAGATGTCTTCATTTTCCTTGTTGGTCTACAGTTTCATATTTTCAGTTTGCTCTATTTCTGCAGATATTATTATTTAATATTCTAGTAGCAGCCTGTTTCTTTTATCTCTTTGTTGGCACAAAACAGATGTTGATTATCAAAAAGTGGTAACATTCTCTCTGTGTGTGTGTATGTTTGTGTGTACTACTGCCGTTCCTCACGCTACCAAAAATAACTTGATAAAAAATCTGCTGCTACTTACGGAGAACGTACATCTTGCGAAATACTCATATCCCACTGGATTGAAGTACATACAGACCATTATATGAGCATTTGTTGCTACTATCGTGACAACACTTCTAACAAAAAAGCTAGTGGTTTGGAAACTTATAAGTTTTTCTCATGCTCTTGTGTCATTCTAGACGTTTCAGGAGTATTTGTGTAATGGGATATATTGTTGTGAATAACGCGGATATGTTATAAAACGATATGCTGGTGGGAAATGGGGTGTACACGTGTATGTTGGGTTAACAATATAAAGCAATATTGCTAGTCTTTTTAAATATTATTAGGGAAAGTATTTCCAAATTCCTGTTTTAATGGCTTATCAACGTTTGTTATACTGTCAACCCCCTAAAGCGTATCATGATTTGAAATACCTCTGTCTGTGAGTATCAGCCCCAGTCATTCACATGCATGCATTTAAACAAATTAATAATAACCTAACCAACGATTGAAGGAGTTGGTTATTGGTGAGAAATACAGTTGAGTATTGTGTATTAGAATGTATACAAGTGTAATGTACAAATATTTGTACAGCAATTATTATTCTTTTTTCCTACCCGTATTATAAGGTTGCCCAGTACATTGGAGAAATATGTCGTTATCTTTTGAGTCAACCAGTACGACCTACGGATAAACAGCATCACGTATGGCTTGCGTTCGGCAATGGTTTACGACAAAAACTATGGCCAGAATTTCAAGAACGTTTTAATGTGAAACAAATTGGTGAATTTTACGGGGCTACTGAGTCAAATGCTAATATTGCTAATATGGATAATAAAGTAAGTCATATATATATATATATATAATATGCGTAGGTGATTCAATAGTAGGATGTCCGATAATTACTCATATGGCTGGCGTTCGACTCCCGGCCGACGTACTCTTGAACCTTGATTAACTGGTAGTAAGTCCTGTAAAGAGGAGAAGAGCGTGAGGCTAGTAACCCCTACTGAAATTTCAAAGTTGAAGCTTGAAGCCCCATGTTCCTCTTGGAATGCGTCATGATCTGTCCTCAATCAGCTTTTTCCCATCAGTCGTCATGCTTTTGCTTACGTCAATTATTATTTGGACTTACATATGAAGCAAAATAATAAATTACTTAATCTAAAAACAATAAGTGATGAGCATCCTTCAGAAATGGCTACCATAAAAAAACGATTAAAAATGACAAACACTTGGAAACAAGAACATTGTCCGAAACAGTGGGTGATTCAGAAGATTTATAAAGTATAAGTTAAAGTTAGGAGTTTGAGAGGAGGAAATAAGACGAAGATAAAACGACCGAACGAATATTGGTTACATACTAAGTTGCTGTAGGAGTTAACGAAAAGTTTGAGGCTACGGTAGTAGAAGGGGTTGCATAAACCACTTCTGAATACACAGTCCAGGGTTGTGTTTGTGTGTAGCAAGAGGTTCTGCTGTGGACAGCTTTGCCCCACTAAGCAGAAAAAGAAACCTTATCAGATCCCTTCTCACAAGAATCTGTCGCATATGCACGGGGGACACACTAAATACAGAAGCGGATTCTTTCCAAAGCACTATTATTCAGAGCGGTTATCCACCAGTATTCATCAGCAAACAGATCAAACGTAAAATAGATAATCCATAAAAGACAGAAGTACCAAAGAAAAAGTGAGCTGTAAGACTGAAATTCGAAGTTGATACAATAGCTGGAATTTTTCCAAGTTGATCGTCGAAAGCGATTCGAAAAAAACACTCTTCACCACATCCTTACGTCTCACCTTCTCCATGCAACCTTTCATTCATCAAAATGTCAATGACAATTTTCCACTGTTGGCAACATCTATGTGCATATATCAGTTCTAGGGAGGTAAGTATATAGGCCTCATCAGTCGAATACTGTCTACACGTGAACAAGAACACTCTCCCAATATGGTTATCGAAAGGAGTAATTAGACGAACAAAGACTTCAGTTCTTCAGCACCCCGTCCTTACAAATAATTCCGCATCAATGGGAAAGTCTTTCAAAGCGATATATACCGTAAGTTCAAGTCGTTCGAAGGGTTTCCGGATAAATCTTCCGTCTACATCAGGACCTCTTACTACACACAAACACAACCCTGGACTGTGTATTCAGAAGTGGTTTATGCAACCCCTTCTACTACCGTAGCCTCAAACTTTTCGTTAACTCCTACAGCAACTTAGTATGTAACCAATATTCGTTCGGTCGTTTTATCTTCGTCTTATTTCCTCCTCTCAAACTCCTAACTTTAACTTATACTTTATAAATCTTCTGAATCACCCACTGTTTCGGACAATGTTCTTGTTTCCAAGTGTTTGTCATTTTTAATCGTTTTTTTATGGTAGCCATTTCTGAAGGATGCTCATCACTTATTGTTTTTAGATTAAGTAATTTATTCAAGTGTTAATTTGTAGGGATTTTGATTGGTTACAGGATTTTCATCATGAGCTGACATTAGTTAGAGAACCATTGGAAAACCTGGGAGTACTGGACAGCTGTTTCGTCCTAGTTTTGGTGGGTGCGTACTGATAAAGAGTCCCAAACTTTGCTTGATATGTAAATTTGCATGCTTTATTGCCAACTGATAAAACTTATTGACCTTATTGGCGATTCCCTGACCTTTTTCACAAAACTATATAACTGTTACAGCCTTGATATGGAGTTACGCAAAGAATATTACTGCTGACCCATGTCTTTTTGATTTATGCCGCAAGCGCATTATTTTTCATATTATTTGGATTACTGATCGACTGGAAGTTCAGAAATATTACCTCTAGTTTTAATGGTGTTGATTTATGTGATGGTACTAACAAGTATCACAGTTGACGTAGCTGTTACTGTTATGTAGAGCACTGCAAAAAATATGGATATTCAATTTCTTCAGTGCCTTTTTCTGAGTTTGTTTGAAGAGAGTTGTTTCAGAGGCTTATTTTGAAACAGTTCAGTACACCGATGATTTTACATATATATATATATATATATAGTCAAGGAATGATTTTTCGTATTTGACCTACTATCTCGATGTTCACCCCTCCACCAATCATGTTTGTCCTAGATTCACTTCCACACATACTTGTGGGTGTAAACTATTGTAGTAGAGGTTTTTCGTTTGACAGTCAACGATATGTTACTATGCTGTTCAAGTACACTGGATTGAATGTGTGTACAAATAATAGGCTGACATATAATCATGTCTTTTGAATGACTAAGCAGCATGTCTTATACAGTCAACCAATCGATCACGAGGTGATAAATTAAAATAAATAAAAGAGTTGGGTTACTGCAAATAACTAGCATACATACATCTGTATTATTAGTAGGTTCATTTGAAGAAAAACTGTGAAATATTTTGGAAGCGAAGAGAAACACACACAAGTCAAGGTGTTTGTAACGCATGGAATACAATTTTCGAGCTGTATGATAATGACTTACAAAATTTATCCATTAAATCAGTAGATCAGTAGGCCTAAGATTTCTGCAAAATATTATTCACTTTTCTTTAAGTGTAATCTGTATCCCCGCTAGTCTTCGTTCTAGTGCTACTTCTGTCCTTTCGTATTGCGTTTCTTTGTCTTGTTTTCGTGTCCTCCAATATTTCGCTGCAACACTGGTTCATTTGCTGTCTATGACGTTGAATCTCTCCGCTATTTGATATCTTTATGCCGATGAGCGTCACCTTATACACTACTGATAAATCTTACCAGTAGCACACACCACACTATGTTTATTAATGAAATACATTTCTCAGTGGTTATATTTTCGTCCCAGTCGCATAATACATGTGTACAATTCACCTTGGCTAGAGAAGAATTGAGTGCTTGAATCTAGTACAATGTATGTTCATAATACTCCAACCAATCATATTATCCACTTTGTGTATTGATTATTTTGTTAAGGTCTTAGTCATTGCAGTCTTTTTTTTGTCATGTTTCTGTTTAATGTTATATCGTTGTGTTTTTCGAATAAATGAAACCTTTTCACACATGTTATCGTCTCTCTTGTCCGTATAAAAGCAGTATGTGTCTGGCAGTTAGTTGTCTGACTGTCTACAGCATTTTTTAATAATTGTAATCATTTAATATTAAGGTATATATGGTTAGTCATTACACTTCATTTGTGTGTGTGTGCGTGCGTGTGTTTATGGAAGATGATGAGTTAAGCACGGACGTACATTTCACCTCATAGATAAAATTCATGTCTGAATGTGGTGGCTAGGTGATTATATTGTTGATTAGTGGTCATTGTCCATCGGATTGTAGAATTCATTGAGTAGTATTCAATAGGTCATTTGTTATAGAACCATGGTGAAATTTCAATGCACTTTCTTCCGAAAATCTGAAATATTCACTTCATGGTGCATGATTCTCTTGACGGCATAAACCATATATATATATATATATATATATATATATATATATATATATATAATGTATATGATATTGTACACCAAAAAATCGTTGACTTTGTTTGGTTAACACTGTCATCCTTTGTGATTACAGCACACCTTGCCTTCTTTAATTTATTCTATTTTAGTGTGGTGCAGTCGGTTATGTTTCAAGAATAATTGATGGTATTTATCCAGTGTATATCATTAAAATTGATCCGATAACCGAAGAACCGATTAGAGATCCAAACACTGGTTTATGTATATTATGTGGAAATAACGAAGTGGGTCAATTGGTTGCACGTATCAGTTCACGTAATCCTTCTCGTATGTTCGATGGTTATGTTAGTCGTCAGGAGTCAGAGAGAAAAGTTATTCGCAATGTTTTACGTAAAGGCGATATGTGGTTTGCTTCTGGTAGGTGCTTCTTTTTCCTCTGAAGAAAAAAAAAGCGTTATCTTACTCTGTAAAGTAATATCTACATTTTAATTGAACGGATTGTCATCACTTTTTATTTTGATTGTTTAATTTAGCCGGTTGCATATGTTGTACATCAGAAGAGTAAATTTCAATCAGTACTTTCGACTTTAACTATATTTTATTCTACTTCTTTACGTTCCCAGTGGAGCCTGGGGCTTATAGCTGGAGTTTTGAAGTTTCGGTAGCAATTGTACTTATTTTTACGGGATGGGGTTGCTAGCCTCATGTCCAACCTTCCTTCTCTACCAGTCTTATAACTGGCTTAGCGAGGTTTGGGAGTGCGTTGGCAGGGGATCGAACCCCCGACCACACACTTGGTTGGCGAGCATTCAACCACTGTGCTACCAATGCACAATTTTAACTAAAATACGTTGGTACTTGTATCTTCTTCATTTCTTGCTTCCCAAGCTTTTAAAGTTTCAGTAGCGGTAGTGTTGTCCGTTATGCGGTGGGGTTGATAGTCTCGAATTCAACCTCCCCTCTTTTTCGGGCTTACTATCAGCTCTTAAATTTGGGCGAGGTTTACAAGTGTCTCAGTTATGTGTGTTAACTTAATTGTTCCATAAGATGTTTTAGAAGATATTTCCAGAAAAAATGAAAATGGGAAAGTACCTGATATGCTGTAACACTTACAGATAGTATGATTATTTAAATTACGATATATATATGTACTTTTATTTATTGCACTTTATTTTGTTTTCCACATATAATTATATTTTGGTTTTTTTTTCTGATTCATCTCCTATATTTCCAATTAAAGGTGATTTGATGTGTTGTGATGAGTATGGCTATATTTACTTTATTGATCGACTGGGTGATACATATAGATGGCGTGGTGAGAATGTGTCCACAGCTGAAGTTGAACGTATTCTAGATCAAGCTGTTGGATCATTGACTACCACTGTATACGGAGTATGCATTCCTGGGACAGAAGGTAAAGCTGGTATGGCGGCTATTGCATTAGAAGAGTTGAAACTTAGTCCTGATGAGGAAGAAAATTTAATTAGTCGAATACATAAAGAATTCACAGAACACTTACCGCCTTATGCACGTCCTATATTTTTACGGTTGTGTCAACGTCTGGAAATGACTGGTAAGTTGCCTTATACTTTGTGTTGCTGTTATTTAACTTTTTTTTCTTTCAAATTTATGTAGTCTTATCATGAAAAGTGATTGCGAAAGAAATAGGCATAATCGATTTCAGAGTTTCTATTATTACTTAAGCGTTTTAGGCTACCACAAGACACCTGCACATCAAAGTAGCCTATGATATGTGAAGAATAAAAAGAAGTTAGAATTCATGGACCATTGGATCGGGTCCCAGTGGCTTAATGGTATACGAGCTCGCCTTGTAACCAGAAGGTCCTGGGTTCGAATCCTGGTGGTGGGTGCGTACTGATGAAGAGTCCCAAACTAGGACGAAACAGCTTTCCAGTACTCCCAGGTTTTCCAATGGTTCTCTAACTAATGTCAGCTCATGATGTAAATCCTGAAAAAAATATTGTCGTCAAAATGTTAAATAATTAACAAATTGTGGTCCCACGCTTACTTACTATGAGTGTAATGTGTGAATGCATATGTCTTACTGTGGTTAGTTTTGAGCTGTTCCACATAAAATCTCCAACTATGAGCTCAGGTCGCACTGTTACCACTAACCATTGAATCATTATTGTTATGTTAGCTTAAAGTACGTGAAAAATAAACGTAAGGTGAGGTCTTTAATCATGTGTAGATTTCTCATATACACAGTCGTGGGTATGCGTTCACCAAAGTCCATAGTATCATTTTGTTTATGACTACAAAATAAACAACAAAAATTTGACCATCAGTTTCTGCCTACTTTCTGGCTGTAAAGAGTGTGTGTGTATATTATATATATATTGGCTACGGACACTTGGGGGGTGGCATCGTATAAGGCTTTCCATACATTTAGTGCATTTATAATAATTTATGCATTAAAGTTCTGTTTGTTTTGAAGAAAAAAAAGTCTGTTATATGCACATAAAACGAATTATTTCATATTCATCTTTCTTTCTTCTTGACAAAACAAAACAAAAAAAAACAATCATGATAATGGTAATATTATAATAGTTATCTATGATAAGTGGAGTTCCACTTATCAGTATGAAATTTTCTACTTTGAACGTGGTGAAGTGTTTACGTTTTGTATTCGCATGTTTAATTTTATGAAAAATGTAGGAATTATGATTATGAAAACACTAGTAATAAATGATAATAGCAATAAGAGAATAAGATAAGGTTTAAGCAACGCATTGAAGCGTTTAATGGAGAATAACTATATTATCAAGTTATTTGAACTCAATTACTCGGGAGAGATTTTTCATGTACCAGGCTAAAAGCCACATTTGTTGTGTGCGGCTGATGATAGTACCCAGTTGCCCAGGCTGAAGTCAGTGGAGTGGGATTCGAACTCGTGACCTGTCGACTGAAACCGAGTGTTTAGGCCAATGAACCACACCTCCGCTGTATTATCCAGTAAATACATAGTGCCCAAGTGATCTGGGTTCAAGTCTCAGTGGGAACAGCACCACTCACGTACATTCATTCACCCTTGATGAGTACCAAATAGGAAGAAATGCTCATCGTGGATTGAACTGCTAGTCACCATCGGACAAAAATAACATGAATACATAGTGGTTTAAAATTTTCTATCCTAATTGTATTCGCTCGACCCTAGAAGGTTGTGTCGAATCCGGTTTTTCATTACAGTCTAGGATCAATCATAATTGGATATATTTATCCGCTTTTTTTTCAGTCCTCGGAATACTGACTAATCTGTTTTCTTTTTATAACTTATCGTTAAGAAATGTCTTATGTGGTTGTTTGTGATTTCTCTCCCTGTTTATGTTATATTACATCTCTTTGTGAAAATAGAGTAGGACTTCATTGGTTTAGAACCTGTGCTTACAAACATTAGATCACCAGTTCAGTCAGTGCTCCACCTACCTACGTGTTTGGGTTTGCAGACAGTATTGTCACTCTCTTCATAAAATAAGTGGAACTCACCATTAAGTGCATATATTTGTTAAAATAGTGTTGTTTTTCCTCCGACTTAGCTTAATGGTGTTATTTTAACTTTCTGAACATGTGTATTATGCAAGTGTATACGGATAAAGATAATGCATTCCTTCTTCATGCTACAGTGTAAATATATCTTTTTTCCGTTAAACATCAAGGTAAGTTTCTTCATGAAACGATATCGATACAGTGTAGGTGTTTCTTCTCAGTTTCGGATAATTCATCTATCCGAATCTATTAAACTACAAGGATCAAACCTCTAGGGTAGTCGAGTTCAAAGGCCAAAAATATACCTGATTTGGTTAGGAACCCATTGGTACAAGATTTACACCTTACGACACCGTCGTCTGTAGTAAAGCAGTTCTTTTGCTATTAGGGTCATCGGTAAATATTCGTCCTCATACTGAAGTTTTGTATTCAGTCCACTGGACACAAGTTATCACATGAACTTGGGGAAATGCATTTCAAAACTAATTGCTAATAGTACGTCACAGTTGACATGAGAAAGGCTGTGACAGTAGTCTACTTATCATTAGAGAGATTAAAGTGTTCTTTGTTAGAACATCGCAAGACACTATCCAAGTGTTTATTGCTATTTTATCCAGAAAGGGTATTTTCATTTCTCCACCCTAAATTACTTATTCTTTGATATCCCATATTATTAATTGTCGTTGTTAGTCATTTTCTGTACATCCTAACAAAGAGGTGCTTACTGCAGTACTTTATCGTGAAATTATTTGCTACTGAGTTGAAGCGACATTCTCCTATAAAATAAGTCCTAACATTGTTATATATTGTTTTTCTTAGTGAAGAATGTGTATAGATTTGTTGTCAAATTATATACAAATTTTGAACACTGATTGAATTTTGTGAAATTTAATCATTAAGTTGATTAAGGAAATAATATTTCAGTATACTTTTATTGGCGATAAAAGTTCCATTTTATTTGACATATAGTTAGGTGGTTGTAAACAACCGGTAAGAATCTATGGGCCTACGTTCCGTGCTTATCGGCATTTGTCAGCAAAGCGTACTTGCAACCTCGAAGGAACCGTTTCCTCTTGGAAGATTTGAACCCAGGTCACCGAGCTTTTCAGCCCGGGACATTATCTCTGAGCTGCCTATGCTCACAACTGACTTCTTGTAGGACAGTAGTAGATATATTAGCTGTTCTTTAGACAGTAACTGGCGTCATGTGTCCGTCCCTTAGTGTTGGAACTGACTGAATTTTATTAATCAAGTTAGCAGTTATGACAATTATCACTAGGATCTATCATGAGGTTTAATGATAGAACCTATTAGCGCCAAATTCAAATACTTAAACTGTAGACTATTATGTTGTGCTTATGGTATGTGTTAATATGCACAATTTGGTTGTATGTACTTCCTGTTGGATTTTTTCAAAGAGGTGCTCACCAACTGAACAATCAGCCTCTCCGGATGCATTTTTCAAAGTATGTGTGAGCAGTATTGACTTATAACGCTAACAAGTGGGGGAGGGATCTCGAGAGAGTGTCGGACTACGTTTACTACTTGACTAATTTTGATAATTTCATCTATGAGAGTCTGTGACACTAACTAAACAACTTCGAAGACCTGTAGATCACATTTTCTAAGTGAAATAAGGCTAACAGTGTATAGTTTTTTTGTGCCTTTACGTCCAAACCAAAGCAAGTGGATGTCTTAAGAGGCCATCTCCCCGTGCCTTTAACTTGAAGTCTGACCCATGATTGCCAGTGACCAAAATAGATTCATATGTCTTTGCTGATTTCGGATTGTGCATCCCACGTACATCATAGCTTGGGATTCAGGGTTTCCCAGCTCCCTTAGGTGTGGACCTGTTGCTCACTAGTTCGCTTGTAAGCGCCAGACCTTTTCATTTACCCTTCCACTTTTTTGAGGAACATCCCCGTCGCCTGGGGGGGGGACTTACTTGGCAGAGGCTACGAACGTGTAGCCACATGAGAGCATTTCGAAAGGAAAACCAAGTGTATTTGCTGTCCCACTAATATCCGTGGTTTCTCCCTCTGCGTTTTAGATATGGAATTATTTTTGGCGCGTTTGTAACTTATAATAATATAATAATTGGCCCTAAAATATAGAAATCTATATCTTTATATTATCATTATTATTATTATTACTATTACTAATATTCCACAGGTACATTTAAGATTCGTAAACAGGAAGTCAGTCGACTCGGTTTTGATCCGTGCATTAATCCAGGTGATCATGTCTACTTTTTAAATCCACAAACAAAACTTTATCAACGATTGAATCAACAATTGTTTGAAGATATTAATCATGGTAAATTTATGCTTTAAAAAGCAAGAATAAATTCCATTTGTACACAAACATACACTCCCAAATTTTGTTTATTAATTTTTCAACTTGTAAGTATATATATATTCACATTTCGCACTATATATCAGAGATAAGCATATTTTATATTCGAGTGAGTGTGTTACCTAATTCATATTTACTATTGTGCCAATTAATGCCTTTCCATTGATATTTACTATCTTGATACAAATGTAAAATATTAGATTGATTCTTATTCTTCACTTTCGTATTTGTGTTTCGCCGTTTTTGATTACACGTGTTTTTGTTTTACACGAATAATTCCTACTCTCAATCATGTTGGCTGCGCTTGTTCTCTCCGCGTTTGTTCTTCTTTTGCTCCAGTCTACTTTGTGCTTTCTTTCTTTTTTTTTGAATAATGGATAGTAGTAGCACCAGTAAATTGAGCTGTGGTTGTGCTTATGTTTCGTTTGCTTATTTCATGTCTTACTTCTCGTCGTCTGTTGTACTCTTCTGAATAAAACAAAACAAAAAAGAATAGCAGCAAAATTAATGCATACATTCGTATACAATACAAATTTGATGGAATAATAATAATTGATTAGATGAATAATTAAAAAAAATAGTCTTTCTTGAATATTTATACTACTTAATTGTAAATTTATTCAGTATTCCAAAGTTTTACAACAATTAGATTAAATTATCCAGGGTTAATTAGTAAGTCTTTAAATTGGGCAAAAGGGGAGACGAGAAGCCTTCGACTTTATTTTGTTTTGCAGGCATATACGCACACACATGTGTTTGTTTATTGTCAGCATATAGATAATTGCCAGCATTGTTATTGTGATTGTTATTACTATTATTATTATTCTTGTTATTGTTGACAAAATCACCCACTATTTATTTTTGTATGTCACTTGATGATGATGATTACTGATCAGTATTCGATTTAATTTCATTGTATATTTCTTTCTTTACAATACTACACCCTTCAAGGTGTACACTTTCTCTATGGCGTTTCTTTTCTTTTCCCCCTCCCCCCTCTCTCTTTCTCTCTTATGAAGCTTAATCGTCAGTAGTAGAGAAGTTTTTGTTAACTTAATTTTATTGTGTATTTTGCGTGTGATTTAAACAAATAAATGGAAATTATAAAATAAAGATTGCAAATAAGAAGAATAAATCGTTTGTTATTATGCTTCTGTTTTAATATTGGATGCATCTTCTTCTTCTTCTTCTGCTGCTGCTCCTGCGTACATTTAACTCTACGTATCCTGGATACGCTTAGTTCGCTTGATGAATATCTACAAAATAAGATGTAACTTGTCCGAGTCGTGTGATATATATATATATATATATATATATATATATATATATTTGCACAGTACATTTTGAGAAATCTCTTCACGTAGGAGTTAATGTAGAATATAAGAAAATTTTGGGATATGAGAATATTGAATAGAAGGTCAGCAAAACCTGACAATGGTCTATGTAATGAAAGCAAGATAGAGTTCAGGAAGGTGGCGCTTTTCAGCTAATTCATTTCCTCTACTTGTACAATTGCGCTTATTATGCACAATGTTTTTCATGAAAGAGGGTAGTAACAAAAGTGATGAATTATCACAAACATAGTTGTTAATGTTAGTCAGTGCGTGAGAGAAGCTGAATAAGTGTATTGATGATGAATATTGGATGAATGAGTCGTGATCAGGATGCACACACAAACGAAAGAAAACTTAGATTTATGTAAGAGTTCTAAGGAGTTAGAAAAACAAACAAATAAGAAATCTAGTTAGTGGAAATCGGGCTGTTACAATGATAGTAGAAGCGCTTGAATAATTTTCTTTCTTATGCAGAGCTCCATTTTCTCTATGTGAGTGTCTAGAGCATCAGAAATGCACTGAGGAGACGAGAGCAAATTTTCTTTGGCAGGTTGTTCTCCACTTTGTAGATTACTTTGAAGAAAGCGTTTGTTGGGATGCAATAGTTACTGTTGAAAAGGTGTTCGATTATCACACCACTTATAAAGCCACTACTACATTCCTGCAACCATGAGGTGTGGTGGTCTTGAACCCTCTTAGGTAGGATTCACGTCGAACTACCAATGTACCTGGTTCCACAGCAACAGGCGAACTGATATGTGCACATAGACGTGGTCAAATGCCAGATGTTTCCCATAAGGCTTCTGCAGACTAATGGGCGACTGAGAAACACTACTCTTAGCGTTGGTGAGAAGAATGCTCTCCTTAGAGATGCTGAAATTCTTCTCTTAAGCATATTGCAGCTTAAGTCTCCAGTGAAATCCAGTTTCATATAAAGTTTCTTTCTTGGAACAGTAATGTTTCGTTCCTCTGAATTTTGGTTTGATATTCTTGTCAACGAATATTGGTGGATATCAATTTTGGAATATCTAGCTCTGCCTGTAGGGTTTCAAGACTAGAGATGCATCGGATCCGAGTGGTAAGGGGTTTGTTTAAACTTCTTTTTCGTTCAACAGATACCGAATTGTGGAAACTTGTTAGCTGAGCGTTCCAAGTGATTTTCCTATGGACTGGGCTTCTTAGGACCCCATTGGGTCTTCTTGTTAGTTCCACATCAAGAAAGGGAATTTCGGATTCGTTTTCCATTTCTAGTGAATTTTATTTCCGAATAGCAATCGCTAAATACTTGTAGCAATTGAGTAGGGTCGCAACTATTGTTACGACTGATGGAAGTGTTATCTACGTACCTTGTATACAGTTGCAAAACGGTCAACCTGCAACCATGCGGCATAGTATTCTTGAACGCCTCCCTGAAAGTAATCTACAGAGTGAAGAGCAAACTATTAGCGACAAAACACTTTTCTCTTCTTTGCATAGCGGAATCTGTACCCATTCAGTCAGAGCTATTCATACCAAAAGATTATTCACCCACTTCTACTATCTTGACAATTATCTTGTTGTTTTAAACCAGCTTGGTCTTGTTTGTTTCTCAGGTGTTTATGTATCTTGTATTTTCTTGGAACTCTTACGTAAGATTACTTTTTCCGCGTGCATGCTGACTACAACTCATTCATTATTTTATTACACAACTGTAGGTTGACTACAACAGTATAAATGGATAAATTATGTGTACTTGGATTAGTTGGCATTCTCAGTTAAGTGATACTGTTTTCTCGTTGTGACATTTCTGAGCTTCATTCTATTCTCCCGAATATTCTTCAGTTAGCAGTCAATAAATATAAGACTTTCCTATTTAATATAGATGTTATCAGACTACACTTTATCTATGACAGTTTAAAAGTAATAAATGTATATGGATTTCCCCCCACTGAGCTATTCGGGCTCGCGATTGACCTCCTGTAGGACTGTAGTGGATACTTCGATTGGACACTAGTAACTAGTGTTATGCGTCTAGTCCTTTCTTTGGTGCAGACTGAATTCTATCAGTCAGGTTTGCAATGTGGCCACCATTCTAGGTAGCTCGCCATCACGGTGCACATTGATTTTTATTATATTAGATGGTTGGAGGCAATCGGCAAGAAGCCTTGGACCGAGGTTTCGTGCTAGTTGGCACTCGTCAGCAAGGCGTATCTGCAACCTTGAAGGAACTGTTATTCGGTGTTTATCATTAAATTAACTAGTGTACATCTCTGAAGGAGTTTTAATTATACCTTAGTCTAAAATATCCAAATTATAATGTTTATAGCAAGTTATTGATTTTGTCAATTGTTCCGTAAACGTACATTGCTATTATTCAGTTCATTGGAGTCAATTGTTTTGCCTTCCTACTTCATTTTATCTAATATATTTAAGTCATATAAATCTAGGTGATCAAATTGAATTCATTAGATAATAAGTAATACTCATTCCTTGTTTATACGACTGTTGAGTCAATTAAATAAAACCACTGACCATGAAATTATAGGTGTGGCTTATAATTAAATAAACTGACGTTTATATAATTTCTGGATTTTAGTTTATTCCTATTAATACTGTCGAGTATATATATATATATATATATATGTATATACATTTGTGAGAATAGTAATATATGCCTAAGTATTTGTCTTCTCCTTGATATGTAGCATTTGATAACTATTGGTTTTGAAAACTACTATGAGTGCTAATGCAATTCAATATCTTTCATTGTATTGTTTAATACTGAAACATGTGAGACAGCTGCATAACATTTCAAATTACAGGTGTTCGTAATAAACTAAGATGAGTCCCAAACTAAGACGAAACAGCTGTCTAGTACTCTGCGGTTCTCCAATGGTTCTGTAACTGATGTCATCTCGTGAACATTCCTGTAACCAATCTAACCCCTGCAAACTAACACCTGATAAATATGAATTACACATATCTCACACAACTGGTTCCCTTGATTAGTTTGAACAAGGAAAGAACGTACATATTTGCCTCTCATTCAACATTTTACCTGAACTGGTTGTTGATATTACCCAGTATAAAATAGTACATCATCCTTTCTCACGAATCGTGTGATTTATCTTGTGATGGTGTTAATGTATCATTTCTCACTCATATTGTGATTTAGTGTGCGATCAATTCATCGTCTTTTGTCTCACCTTGGTCTTTGTCGGATCGCCAACCAATCAGGATAGATATATACAGACAATAAGAACAATCCATTCTCACAGCTGTGAGCCGACTTTATTATGATAAAGAAAATGTATATCATGTGTTGTTTCTTAAACTATATGGTATAATACAATATCTTACAGCCACAGGCCAGCTTTTGCCTTTTGATATTTGCGTCGCTCAGTGAATGGGATGGTACAACGGACAAATAGACATATTAGCGTACCAGTCGAGTTCATTACCCTTATAGCAATTAGCAGGCACAGACATAAAAAGTAGGGACGGATTTATTCAGATCAGTTCAGTTATAACAAATTAGCAACGGGTCAGTTCCGTTCAGTCATAACAGTTGTAGATATTGGTTATCTATCTATAACTAAGGTTACAACAAAAGGTATCTCTAATCTGAAATGAGACAAGGCAGCAGGACTTGATCGAAGGACTCCATAGGTGTTTAAAGACGGTGGTGATGAATTGTCGTTTGGGTTAACTAAGGTACTAGGCAATGTCTTGGAATCAGAGATGGTTCCATTAGACTAGCGTAAATCACTGACAATTTCAGTATGCAAGAAGGAAGGTAAGTCATCTTGTGATATTCATTGAGGGCTTAGCTTGATTTATACGGTATCTACAATTCTGGACTCAATAGTCATGCGTAGATCAAGCAGTTCTCGGGGCAGGCTTTAGACCACGAAGAGGGTGTATTGATCATATCTTCACCTTTCGACAGATTCTGGAACATAGGCATACTTACTGGCGTCCAACAGTCGTCATATGTCTTGACTTGAAAGCGGCATTCGATTCCGTAGACCAAGAGGTACTTTGGCAGTGTTTGGTCGTGAAGGGAATGTCGAGAAAATTCATCGTACTGATCATGCAGCCAGGTAAGAGTCTACGGAGAGTTGTAATCTGAAATGGTGACAATCAGTGGTGTCCGTCAGGGATGTCCACTGTCCCCATTTCTGTTTAATTTCATCATAGATGTACTAATGGAATTAACCCTAACTGACTTCAGAGACTCAGGGGTTGAGCTGTTATGAGGGAACAGTCTTTTTAAAGACTAACAAAGTTCACAGTCTTCTAGGCACCTTGAGCAGCAATCTTCAAATGTTAGGTATGCGATCCGCTCCTGTGAAGTGTAAGATGATGCTACATGACTGGATATCATCAACTCCTAGCATGAAGATACGGAGCGAAGTGGTAGACCGTGTTGATCACATCACTTATTTGGGAAGCTGTATCAACCTTAGTGGACTGATCTCTGACTAGATCTCAGTACGGATACGAAAGGTTCGTGTAGTGTTTTCCAACTGTCGCCATTTCAGGCGTAGACGTGATATCCAGCTATCTACCAAAGGATGTGTATACTGTACAGCAGCTCGCTCCGTCCTCCTTTATGGCTGTCAGATATGGTCATTGGAATAGGGAGATATGAAAAGGATAGCTGTCTTTGATCATAGGTGTCCGTGTTTTATTTCCCATGTTAGGCGGTATAATAGGGTGGGCAATATTGAGTTTAAACTCAGAGTATTAGGTGAGGAGGGTAAGTTAGTCGATGCGGTTATGAAGCTACATCGACTGAGGTGGCTAGGGCATGTGTTGTGCATGTCTCGACGGGTGTTATTAGCTGATATAGGATTGAATTCCAACAGA